TCCTTCCCTCCTTCCCTCCTTCCCTCCTTCCCTCCTTCCCTCCTTCCTTCCTTCCTTCCTTCCCTTCCTTCCTTCCTTCCTTCCAGAGCCCTTTAAAAAAAAAAAGTATCCCACCCCAAAAAAAATATATATCCCACGAAAATATGCCCTCCTGCATAAAGTATCATAAAGTCATGTTGTGGGTCGACACAATACTTGAAAGCGCTGGAAGGATGACAAAGGGATTCACCAACTCCACCAAGGGTTTTCCTGCTCACCTTTCTTCAACTCACCTTTCTTCAAGGCTCTAATTGACTTGCTCACTTCGAGGCCGAACAACGGGTGACAAGTCAATGGAAGTCGCAGAGCTGGGTGTGAATTGAATTGGCTTGCTCAAGTGGTGCGTTACATGCTGCGAATGCCCACGTTGAACAGCAACCTCAACGGATACTGAACTTGACACATATTGAAACAGGTGGTCAGCAGAATGTGACTCTTGCGGAACCAAAACGCTCACCGATTGGAAAGAGATTCCCGTTCAACAAGAGTTCATGGGGCCCTGCAACTCTGACATAGTTCAACCGCCTTCTGATCGTTCTGATTACTATATAGACTGATCCAAACAGCGAAGGCTTCCAATCCTCGCTGAGGGACCAACTGATTGAAAGTCGTTTCATGTCATTGTAGGTGTTGAAGATTATTGAAGTATTTCAGTCTCACTGATATTTAACACCTTCTTATTCTACATGGAGAGCGCCAAAACCGCAGGGCATCCGCGGAGGAGCCGGCTTCAGCCACGCAGTGCCACGCAGTGCCGCGCAGCCATGTGTGTCGATGGTGCCAAGTAGCTCCTCGTGGTTGATGGCATAATCCGTCGGCCCCCGAAAGCGTCCAGCAGAGCAATGGGCATGGCAAGCCCCTGTGTCACGCTCCATGGTGCCATTGACACCTGAGAATGGCGACATCTGTGTGTGCAAAGCGCAGATGTCGTAACGATGTCGTGTCCAAGTGAAAAAAAAGAACTGGTGGGTACAAATCACATGTCCCCGGAAGAATTGTTGGGTTCATAGAAGAGCTGGGAAAAGCTGTGAACCCAACATTTCTTCCTCGACAGTTTCTCCAGAACCCTTCCACAAACCAGCAAGCTGCTGCTGGGCAGAAGTGCCCCTGGCCCCGTGACTGGTGCATAATGTTCAGCGCCAACAGCCCAGGCAAAGCCAATTGAATGCAATGTGGAATTGTTTAAGTATAGATGAGTAGATCCATCCAAATAGGGATAGACACACACAAACACACACACACACACACACTCGAGCACACAACCCCCAGCAAATTTATAAACATCTTCAAATTCAAGAAGGTGCATGACATGTCCTCAGGTCGACGAACAGTATGACAGTGGACATCATCAAGAAAGGAACGCCACTCTTGGCGGTCTTTGGAATGGCTACAAACTGGCTTTTTTTAAGTCAGGAAGAATACATGAAGAAGCTCTCAAATCCCTGAATGAGGCCCAACTACATCTTCTGAAACATCATGTTCTTTGGAACATCATCGTATGGTCATATAGTCATATATACTCACTTTAACATGTTACATTACTAGCCAACTCCTGAGGATGCACTCTATATAACGTATATATATATATATATATAATGAGGACCCGCGCCTTCCCCTCTCCGGACCCGCGGCTTTCGCGAGGCTGCTTTCCCGCTCGACCAGCTCGGTACCGAATCCACTCCCAGGCACAAATGACCGAGACCTCCCCGACAAAGCCCGGTGGACAGGCGGGTGAGCTTGTTTGACCACTGACGAGGTTCGGGTGAGAGACGAGGGCACCATTCGGAAGCCTGGAGGTAGGTGTGAGCGATGTAGGGAGCGAAGGATAGCGAAGGCACTGAGGGCTCCAACAAAACTTTTGGAGGAAACATGGTAGAGCTGAACTGGGCAGGCTGAACACAACCAATTTGAAGAAAGACAGTTATGAGCACATGGAACAACAATGGAGCTTAATGCGTCCAGGTCCTGAAATCTAGGCTCAAAGGCAACATCATGTATGTATGGGCAGGATAGCTTGGAGGATATCTCCTATCTCAAACTGAAGCTGCTAGAGAAATCGCCGTTTCGGTCGAAATTGGATGTTGCTGATGACTGGGACCAAGCTGGGAGAAGCCAGCCGATCCGCATTTGGTTTGGAAGCATCTACACGTCACAGGGACTTGTGATTTGTTCGTTGCCACCGTTGAGTCTTTTGCAACGAGCGAGGTATCCCAACTGAAGGCATGAAGCCCCGACATCTGGATCTCGTCGCTGGGTGGTTTTGCAGTTCTGGCGAAATCGAGGGTGAAGACCAGTTTTTCACAGACCCAACATGGTCCTTACATTTACCTCTGTTGAAAAGGATGTTCCGGGGAACTGTCCAATTGCCAAATGGACCAGGCAAATGATCTTGGCCAGGTTCTATCATGTACATCTCTTCCTCACCCAAACATTTATTGCAACAAGGGAGGGAACCTGACAAGCCAAAAGGACGCAAGACCGAAAGCATGACCCCTCAATACCCACAAACAAAAACATCCAGCTGGACCTGTGTCATCAACGAGCTCTCAAATTCTGGAAGACTAACACTGAGACACATTGAATCCCTTTGGCTTTTGATCTCTCCTACAGCTCCATCAAGCCCCACCCACGGGGAAAGCCCCTGATCCACTGATCAACTAAGCAGCGTGAAGCTCCCCGCGAAGCAGCCCAGCTGGCAGTTGCTCGTCACCGAAAGATCACCGAAGTGACCTGAGAGCTACCACTCATAATGCCACCCGTGCCGAGAAAAGCTTGCGCTCTGGACGACCGGAAAAACCAGGACGAAGAGGATGGGACGTCAAGGACCCATCAAGGCCACGAGCGGGAGCAAGCCCGCTGGAAACAACTGGATTGCGTCCCATTTTGTCAAGTGGGAAGACACACTTACCGCTCCGCTTCACCACCTTGCAATGTAGTGTCATGCAGTCATGACTCTGGTGCATGCACCTTCGTCGATCCCTTGCCATGGGCTCTTGCCAAAATAGAATTCGTCCAAGCAACAGGTCAAGTTGATGTGGCTGCTGTATGGCTCCAGGCAAGGTTGAAGAAAGGTTTCTGCGTGATCCAACCGAGGACCTCAAACGCCGAAAACAATCATGAACGCGACCTGCTGGTGATAGTGATTGATAAACTAATTTGATAAAAGAACATCACGCAGCGACACACCGCCTAGAACCTAGTACCTATAGTAACCTATAGTTGATATTATTGATCTCCCCGTCTGATAAAATCAAAAAAAACTCTACAGGCATGTAAGCTTTGCTGCCCCTATAGTACCAAATGGATGAGTCCCATTGAGTCCCTCTTTTCTTGACACACCTGTCTGCTTGCAAAGAACATCTGATTTTGGATACTGCTAGCCGACGTAGGCGGTACTAGAGCCACCTTGGACCACTCGCAGTTTCTGGCAGCTTTGAAAAGGTTATGGTCACGAAGGGGTTGCACGCTGTAGTTATACTCGCAGTGCCTGTTTTGAGCCTCTTGTAGCGGTGAGTTCTGTTCCTCCCGCCGCTCTTAACATTAAATCCAGTGCTGTTTGTTGACACTCTGAAGTCTTGTTCCGAGAGCACACCTGCTAGAACCGCCTGAGACAAAGAAGACTCCAAACGGTCCCATTCTGCGCAGGTGTTGAGGAAAATCATCTGCGTGAAGGTTCCCCATTCGACTCTGCTCAACTGTACGCCATCGACTCGGCAGAACTCGTTTTTTCCCTGTCTGAACTGGGTCGAGTGTCTGTTGAAGTTGCCACCGGACATGGTGATCTGCTGCGCTGGACAGCGCTCGCCGCACTGCCTCAGCTCATTATGCTCACTCACCCTTTTTTAGTGAGAGACTTAGGCTAGCAAGTCATCACTCTCACCACCCGTGGATGCATTTTGGGGATCTCTCTTTTCAGGGAACGGGATCCACATGGATTCCCTTGCGACAAATCTTTCATCAACGATGCACGGTGTCCTGAGCACGCTGTCCTATGATGCCAACGATAAAAGCGATCGATGTAAGGCTGCTGCATCCTTTTTGGGTATGTTGGATTGCTTCTGGGTGAGCGGCCATTTTCGGCATCATCCCAAAACTATGGTCATCTTCCTATGTCACAACCCTCCAAAAGCCTGCTCTTGATGCTTGTCGGGTCCTAAGACTTGCCGAAGGTCTCAGCCGGCGGCCTGCTGGGTGGTCTTCTTCGGGCTTTTTGCTGCAGAATCAAGCAAACCTAATAGAAAAAGGAACCTAAGAGCAATGACCTCCAACCTAAGAGCCATGGCCTCCAACCTAAGCCCAATTCAGGATGACTATGATGAAGCACAGTTGCTTAGTCAGCTGTTCTCAGTTCACTTTGCCCAGTTGCCCTTCGAGCACCCGCAGGATACGATCGAAGCAATTGATGTAGACTCGACCGCTCAAATCCAACGGACAGTCCTTCGAGGAAAGGGAGGTGCGCTTGTGGGGAGTGTTTGTGGTGCTTCGATCTGTCAGTGTTCAAAGCCGTGCTTGTTGCATGAACCAAGGAACCTCTCCATCGCAAGGGAAGAAGAAGAATGCCCAAGGGCAAGTCTATAGACATATCTTGAGATATACGCCCGGACAATGCCGGGACGCTAAACATGTGAAGCCAAAAATGCATCGATTTGTAAATTAACACAGACAGTAGTAAGAGTAGTTTGCACATCCATTCCAAAACCCTAGAACCGTTTTGGTGGTTCGAAACGGATTTTGCCGCAAGAGATCTTTATCGTTGGTAAATGTGGTCTTATCCCCTTATCTTTTTTAACACGACCACAACTCCTCGATCAAGCATCCCTCTTCCTTTCCCCTCTTATCAACATTCTTAACAAACTGTATCCAAATATCCTCAAATGTCTATAGCGAACAATAAGTATCCACTGCACAGGAAACCTGACATTGACTTACATGATTTTAGTGGATCGGAATACAACTGAGCTTTCCCGTTGCAATACAATTCACCACCGGATCACTGATTTCCTTTCATGCCCGGTGTTCAGCACTGGAGGAAATCAGAAGGACACTTTTTTTTGCGGAGGGATGTCCATTTTTGTGTCCTTTTGCTTCCATCAGATGGTTCAGTATTATGAATGAAACAATATATTATGAATGAGACAAGCTCAATGATGCCCCAATTCACCCAGGTTGAATCTTGGCAGGCGCCTTTTTCCCTGAGAGGGTTGAAGTCCTGTGTAGCCGTGGAATGTTCAACGCAACCCAGTGTTCCATTCAAAGAATTGCCACCTACAATCGTTCCTTCTACAGTGTTTCCACCGCACTTTCTCACATCTCAAACATGTGTATATGATGTATACATGTGGATTTGCAGTTATTCATACATATTCATACCATCTTGATCCATCTTGCACACTTTTGACGGTTGATTTTCATACAACCACCGATTTCCAGAGGCGTCGCGTACAAACCATGGAGCCCCCTGTCGGGGCGCTCCCAGGCGCTACCTTTCCACCCCATCGGCGCCTTCCACACACCGGTGTCGTGCCAAACCTCTTCCAGCTCAATCGGCGTATGCCGCGTGTTCCTGTCGTGCCGTGCGTCGCAGATTGCAGTGAATTCATGATGATTTCACACCTGTCTCCGCTTTTTCGCCCATCGTCGACTCTTGTTTGCAGCGAGAAACGCTTGAAGTCGTGATCTTGGAACACCTGGACCCAATTCCCCCCAAAGAGAAGCTTCTTTGACCATCGTAATATGAATGTATTAACTTCTGCTTAACTTCATTCAAATGGATCATCAAATGGTATGTTTTTCGGTCGTGTGCTGCCCAGTGGCACATTGGAAAAGGGCCCCGCAGGACAGGGATCTCCACAGGAACCGCTGGTGACACGCTGAAAGCCTTCCAAACCTAGGCGCAAGCTGGGAAGTTCGGGGCACAAGGTTTGGGATCCAAGATTTCACCGCAGTCTGATTGGGGGCATTGTTTTCGCCCTCCTACATTGCTTCAACGTGATAAATGTTAGCATGTCTTGCCAAATATGTATGTTCTTTGCCAGATCATAAGTACTCATCAAATGTGCGGGCTCCCAGTCGTGGATGCACAAAGTCATAACGAGCCTTCTGCTGAATACCCTGTGGCTTGCGGAATAATCTCTACCAGCGGCAGCGTGTCCAAAGAACAATAGTTCGACATAAAGGAGATTTGACACAACTGGATATTGATGCCTGAACAAGGTTGCTTCATGTGTGCGACGTGAGGCGCGCCATGACCCCACTGTGGGTCTTAAACCGTGCTCTGTCTAACCGATTTCTGCGTCCATTTCAGTGGACATATGTTTGGTCGACTAAGCGTCCATACGACCCTCGAGTACCCCACTCGTGGGCTCGGGCTGGGAGGGGCGAGACGTTCCGCTGGATTCCGGATCGGCTGTGGAAGGTCAAAAGGAGCCTTCTGATGTCGGATGAAATGAGAAAACGTTTAGTACATGCATTCTATGCATTCTGCATTTACATATTATGTCATAATTAATCATAATTATATACATGTTTTTTCTTAATTAGTGTGTTTAGTTACTATATGATACTATATGTTGTTCTGTGTGGCCCCGATCGAAGGAAGAGGTTCCATTCTTTGACCATTTCAACAACATCACCGACGTGAGTAAGGGCCCTCCGACTGCTACCCCAATCATCCCCAATCTGTCGATTATCCATAGGTTCCACCATGTTCCACCTCTTCTAAAAGGAGACCGTCTGCAGAACCAATCTCTCTCTCCAGTAGCTTTGGCAAACAATATTCTTCCACGATGGCTGTGGCGTTCCACCAGCGTTCCACCGGCGTTCCGAACCCCGGTGGCGCCCAGTTGTCCGAGGAACAGCTCACTGTCACCATGCCATAGGCCTGTGACGGCTCACCTGGAGCCAGGGCCAAAAAAGAAACGAAGGAAGGACGACCGGAAGACGACCGGAAGGGTAGATGCCAAGAAACATCATGACACCTGGCCCATGGAGATTCAGAGATTTCCACAAGTCCAAGAGAAACATGGGCACAAACCGCATCTGAAGGTACCTCGTTTTTCTTGCAAAAACCAAGTGGCAGTGAGTGAGGATCGACTCACCGGCTAGCAAAGGTGGCACGAGAATTCTGGCACCGTTGTTGTTGATTTCACCTGCATGGCGGACATTGTGGCGTCGGAATGTCCAGTGCGGCAGTGTCCAACTCCAAGGATGGCGGTGAGCACTCCAAGTCCGAACATGTTCAATCGAGGAAGGTGGACAAATGTGGACTGTTTGCTAATATTATCTAATAATCACCCTTTAGGTGGATGGTCAAACATCTGTAGCAGTCAGCATTGGCGAAAGGTTAGATTCTCGCTTAGATGTTCGGTCAGGCAGGAGTTTTCCTGTTCTGAAACCGGATGGCAGAAAGGGTGCGGTCCGGATGGAACATGATCTTCTGTATCCAAGTGCCCCTCGGTATTTGTTTGCCCCTTGGACTTCTAAAGAAGGATAGAGTCTAGAGGAAGAACAAGAAACAAAAAGGATGTGAAATCATGTGAAATCACCCTTCTTCACTCTGATCACACTCCGAGACCTCAAAAAAAAGGGCAAGCGGCAAGCATGGGCGAGGTCTTGGAAAGTAGCTCGCACCTTTTGCCCATTCATGTTACTGTCACCAATATTAGTCACATCAGGTGACTGGAAAACTGTTAATCTGCAAGGGGGGGCCCGATGCGACGGGGTCACATCAGGGTCACATCAGGTTCCTGTTTACAAGGCGTTTTAGTGTTTAAAAAATGTTTTGGCTTTATACGAAAATATTCCATTTCCTTTGCGGAAGCAGCAGCAGCAGCAGCAGCAGAAGCAGAAGCAGCACAAGCAGCACAAGCAGCAGCGGACAAGCAGCACATGCACAAGGCAAGCAGCACACAAGCATACAAGCATACAAGCAGCAGGAGGATATGGTGGTTCTAGGCGAGGCCCGGGCGAGGTCCGGGCGAGGTCCAAGGCAGCACATCCCAGCCCAAACACCATGCCAAGCCCAGAAGCACCCAAGCTCCAAAGTGCACATGGCCACATGCCTAAGATCCAAAGTGCACACAGCAGCACCCTGCAGCGGCACCAGCGCCCAAGCTCTCAAGCGCACACAGCAGCGGCACTCTGCAACGCGCCAGCACCCAAGCTCCCCAGCACACCCTGCGGCGGCACCAGCGCCCAAGCTTGAGCACGCAAACACGCAGCTCTTCCTACACTGGAACAACAGCGGCACCCTGCAGCGGCACCAGCACCCACGCTCGAAAACGCACATTCAGCTCCTTGAAGTAAGAACCCTAATAGCTCACGCTGTCTGTTGAAAAAACACGATGCAATGATGCAACAAGGTTGTTGAATCCATCACACAAGCAAGCAACGCATGGGCACAGCACAGTAACATCAGTTCGTAGAACAAATAGAACAACAACAAATATCCATAAATAAGCCAATCCCCAAGGGCACACCATTTTGATCCGACTTTCCTCCAGTTGATACGACTTAAAGCGAGGCCCCAGTAGCATTGAAAGAAAGGTGCCCATGTGAAAATCATCGTAAAACAAGGGAATAGCTAGATCATTTGCATGTCGCATGTTCTCAAAGCATTATAAAACCCCATGGAGTCATGAAACGGATGCGACTTCCCGAAGACCTTTCGACGCAAGTAACGGCAACATTCAGTGCAAACCGATGCGACTAATCTATCTGAGAGTAACAAAGCAAACTGACTTGGGCCCTTCTATGGTCTTCCAGTTTTTGTTTGCTCACTTAGACTTAAGAGTATTTTCTGAACCCCCCCCCGTGTACAGCCTCAAACAGCCATGCCAGGCATCTGCACTTCAACCATTCGACCAAGCCTCGAGAGCAGTCGGGGAAGCACTGGCCACCAGTGCTGCTCACGCGACCATCCCAACAGGCCACTTCCAGCTGACCTCGGCTCCCCGACCGCCCGACGGCCACGGGGGGTCTCTCAGGTGTGACCACGGGGAGGCCGAAGCGGTCTGACAAGGCCCTTCTCTCCAAGGAAGAAAGCAACATCAACGAAGAGTTCTTTGGCGAAAGAAATTCGAAACGCAAAGGAAAATCGATTTCAGAGAAGGGAGAGTGCCGTTTTTGATGCTGAGAACAGGAAGTCGCACCATAAAGCCACCAGCTGGTGCTCCAATGTTTGACAACATGATGAGTCATGACATGTCCTGAGTGATGATGGGCTACGCCGGCTACGCCTTTTTCCATATGTTTCACCGAGAGAGCCTGAGAAGGTGAGCTCGCTTTGGAACAAGGTCTCGCAGCTGAAATTGGCCACCTGACGGGACCAGCAAGGTGTCCGACATTACTCGAACGAAGCTGTGAGGCGTTCGTTGCCCAAATGTCATTCATTGCAGTGTCAAAGTTTGGCAAACCCTGAAAACTCTCAAATTTGAGCCTCCACACCCAAAGGATTAAGTAAATCCCGTCCGCCAAATCATCAGAAATCCAACATCATCTTGTGACCTGCACCCACCCCACCAGCCCCACCAAGTTCGATCAAGGCCTCCGAATGATTGAGATTCCCATAGAAGACTGTTGCACCGTTATTCCTGGGTCTCAAGCCAAAGGTCACTCAGCAAATATGTATGATTGGTGGGAAAAGACTACCCAGCGATAGTGAACAATTAGGACAAAAATACCTCTAAAATCTTCTAAATCAGGATAATCAGGACCCTGAAAAATCATGACGCATCGCACAGACATGCGCCCCCAAAACATCTCTCAGCAAAGCAAGTAATGCAGGCTTGACTTGTTTTTAGCCATCAGAGTCTTGACCTGGCTGCCTGAAGGCGACCAGGTCCTCAGGTGGACATGCCAGACCTCCTGACTTCAACCAGAAACAAAGAGAGTCAAAGAGCAATTGTGAACATGTGTGAAGGTAGAGAAGGTGGGTCTAAAAACCATCTTTGATCAAATGTGGTTTAAAAGCTGGATATCATCCAGTTGCCAGGTGCCATGGCCATGGTGCCATGTGTAGATTCATCCATCATCATTCGTCCGCCAACAATTTAGAACTGTTCTCAAGTCCCCTCGAGGTGGTCTCATGCACCAAATTGGGTCGGTGGGCGTGTTCTGTATTGCATCATGTTTCCGCCGTTCCTGACAAAGGAGAGCTGAGGCTCGCCATAATCTCTATGCGTTCAAGCTGCCAGTTGCCAGTGTCCGGTGCAAGTCACTTGGCTCTCAACCCTCACAGTGGTAAAACTCCAAGATGTGCGCAAAAGCAGTCCAAAAAGTGCTGCCCAGCGTCGACAATCTCCCTCCCGGGCACTGTCGCCCACACACACCGTCGAAGCGTATACTTCCGTCATAGCAGCGGAACTCGATCATGTCCTCAACATGATGGCTGAAGATGATATGTTCCCACTGGTAGTAAGTATGCACAATACAGTGTGGGTGCAAATGGAGAAACTTGAGCCAAAACATGCCAAAACTCCTTACCATCAAACATGATTCCTCAGGTGTCCCAGAGCCACTTCCAGGAATCACCTGAGCCCTTTCTCACTTCTGGTCTTGAAAGGGGATCCAGCCAATGCCAGGGGGACCGGGAGTAGTCTGTGTGGGACAATGCTACCTAGAGCTGCCATGATGACTACTTCAACCATCTTTAAGCCCAGGAACAACTCTGATATTTATACCAGAACAAGCCGATTTAGCGGGGCCTTGCCTCACTCTCTTGAAGGCTGGCACCACGAAGCAGCCATGGTAGACAAACTGATTGTTGTAGAACACACAAGTTGCTTTACCAGTAGACTACAATTGGTAAAGCAACTTGTAGAACGAGTACTACTAGTAGCAAAGGGCATCGTTACTAGGAGTAGGAACAAGAAGCTACTAGGAACAAGGGCATCGCTACTAGTTGTTCTGCAAGGATTTTTCACGATGACTCGCTCTCACCAGACTCCGCCATGCTTCGCCCCAAGGAGCGGGACAGCTAATGTTCCTGAATGGGGCGGACAGCGGAGGCGAAGATAAAACTTGCTCCAACAAAGGTCAACATGCACCGCCTAAGTACTGTATATGTTTTCTATGTGTAGATGTGTAGATATATGTAGTGTAGTATCATCGCATTTATGTGCCACACGTGCAAGTATATTATGTATTTCTACGCGTTCACATCAACTCTCTTTGGAGGCTCACTCAAGCACTAGTCACACTACTAGTCACTATATGATCGATATGGTCTATCGTATTGCAGAAAGGTGGAAGAACATGGAAGAGCTCCTGGGCTAGCCACGGTCAACTCAGTCAACTCCCTAAAAGGCTAAAAAAAGTGGGCTGTAGAGGACCCTTAAACATTGGACTTGAGAGGGATCTTTATAAACTTCCGTGCTTTCGGATGTCTTCAGGCTTCTTCAGGGTCTATTTTGTGCGTCGGGAAAGGTCAACTGCGGCAACGTTGGACGTCGAAGTGGGTCGACCCAACTCCACACACCCCGTCGTCGCCTCGAGTCGAGCGGTCGCCGATGGGAATGGGAGTCATCATAAAGTCACACGTCCCAAGACAGGTCATGGGAATTTGGGATATATATGGATATATAACTTGGGTGAGTGAGAACCCACAAAACTGTAATTGTCTAAAAGAATATTGTATAGGTTCGGTCGGCGCACCCATGTCCATCCATGTCCATACTCCTTGTCTGGATACATGATCTCCAACAAGACAACCAAGCAAAATCTACAGCCCACCAGTCCAACCACAACCAACCAACTCAACAGTCAACGGGTGAGCAAAAATAGCCATGAGGCCATGAGACTCCCTTTCCAAGAACCAATAGCCCACCAAAATAGGTAGAGGTCAACACTAAAGACGTAAAAATATGTTTATATAAACAAAAACGCACCCACGCATCATAAACAAATGAAGGTGGAAATTCAGCCACACCCCAAATCCCGAATCCAAACGAGAACGCTAGACTCGACTCGTGCCAGTATCATGCCAGGTGTCAGTCGCTCGTAGTGCGGTATGCCCGGATATCGCACCAGTGCCCCATTGGAACGGATCGATCCGGCAGAGCAATTCAATCCTCGGCGGAGGGCGATCTGCGGCGATCCGGATCCGGTGTGTCGGGCCACAAGGGGGTTTGATCGGTCCATCGGTGGGTCACATTCATATGCCAAATCAGGCAGTGGGGGGTTCTCATATCATCCGCAAATGCCATAAACACGCGCGAGCAGTCAGAAACAGAAACATACCATGCTGGACTAGGCGGATGTCGTAAAGCGCAAACCTTGCGAGTACAGACTTGGGTCACCCACCATCTATGCTATAATGCAAATCGTCCAAAAGCCCATCGCAACTTCGTAGAGACAACATCACAGACTTGTTCTTGCCATGGCAAAACATGAAAATGAAATGCACAGACTGGTCGTGTGTGCCATCTAACATTGGGTATTCTACCTCCAGTTGCACACCAGCTCTCTCAAATTATGCCTGGAAGAACCAAAAGCTTGGCCCCATAATGTGCTGGTACTCTGTCAATGGAACTGTCGAGCCCAGGCTTCACAGAAGGAGAGTGGTCCAGTCAGGTTGCATTTGGACTCTAGTGAAAGGGGCAGTGTGCAAGTGTCAAATTGTCGTCTTGAAGCTTTCTGATCTTTCTGATATTTCATGTACTGTTTGATGTTAATGTTCCGCTATCTGCGTGCCAGGCACACTCCACAACATGCAGTCACTAGTCATGAAAGTTAATAACAACATGCACCCAGCGTACGTCAATGGACAAAGTTCTCCACCATACGGATATCCACATTGGAGCCACAGAACGGGGAGCCACAGGGAGCCAAGAATGGCAATTCTTGGCTCCCCCGGCCATCAAATTGCAACCGAACAAGCTATGAGCTCGTGTTTTTGGCCGGATAGGAGTTGGCCAACGCGTGGAGAGTCCAACACGCTATTATGACCGCACTGCGAGCTCCGATCCGAGCGAGGTCTTCCACCGGTTCCGAGGCGCCGCAGAAGCCTTCCACCATCTTGGCCTCGCATTCCGTGGCAGACTGCATTGCCGCCACGAGGCCTTCCTTTCACCCCAAGAACCCTCGCGAAATGGAGGTTCTCGAATGAAACACCGGCAGAACAAATGTGTGGTGATAAAGCTTTGGATGGTAAGACCAGAAATTCGTAGTTGAGCATCGTTGAGCGTTTGAAGCTTAATGGATTGGGGGTGCAATCATCCCAAGCTGACGGATGTGGGCCGAAACAAATCCTGGCTGAAGAGCTAAAAGTAAAAGTATAGAGAATCCAGCGGAGACCTCTCTTTCAGATTCTTTCTCTTTTGATCTCTTTTGTTCTTTGTCTCTGTGCGTCTGCCTGTCTCTGTCTCTGTCTCCCACTCCCCTCCCCACCTCTCCCTCCCTTCATCCTTCTCTCTTTCTCTCACTCAACCATTATTTGGAGCCCAACCTGAAGACTCGCTACCAGACCAGAATAGAATATTCCCGAGTACCAACTTGCTACAGCTTTTGCAGCCATGTAGGTAGTTCATGGCCCACCAACCCCCAGAATTGCAACCGTTCCACCCAAAACCATGTCCAACTCGTCCGGATCAAACCCCCAAAACCACCGAACAAAAATAAAGGAGCTGGACTCAGCTGGACCAAACAAGCTGGACTTAGCTGGAACACTCTGTGGTCAATCCGATTCCGCTCGGAGGGCCTGTCCATCATCGCACAGGACGGTGATATTCCTCACTGGTGGAGTGGCAGCTTCGACATGATCTTGACCTATCTCATCTCTGCACAACACAAATCCGTTGCCTTTTCAGGAGTTGTACTGCATTCCTTTTTTCTGGGTTCAAACATGTTCAACCATGACACAAGCCCAATGACGTTAGTTGCATTGGAAGGAACACACACACAACACACAAAGCAAAACAAACATATATCATATATGGTGCCTGGACCAAGCCAGTTTTAGCAATAAATATTACTCTTGACATCCCTTGACCATTAGCTTGTTCATCCCCCCCGATTGTTTCGCTCTTCAGCAGTTTGGGCCCATGAAGCGAGTGTCCCGTTTTTGCTTCGCTGTGTCAAACAAAGTTTGCCAGGAGAAACATGAAGCAAATGAAACGCTGTTGGTTGGCTCACTTGTTTTGAGCGACCCCGCACCAACACCAAACTTGCTTTAGCCAACAAACACTGTTGAACTGGTAAATCATTGAGTCCCACAAGTTGCGGGATGTTTTCATGGAGTGAAATTGACGAAACACGGTGGCCAAACGGAGCATGACTTTCGGTGCCTGGCAGTTTCCATCTGCCTGGCGGCCCAATCTCACCCGTTCGCCGGAGCGACCAAGCGACCCCGTGTGCGTCTCGATGGGGCACTCCACGGTGGTGTTCTCTCCATGCTTCATGGCCACATGAGGCAGTGTGATGGTGTTGGATGTGATGGTCCCCACGATGCAATCCATGTGACACATGCCTGAGCGGCCCGCGGCTTTTGTTCACACCAAAAAGATATATAAGATATATAGTCTAGTGTTGATGGACTTCAGCCTGCAGAAGTTAGATGTTGATGGCCCCATTAAAAGTTGTTGTAAACAGCAAGGCCAAAGGGAAAGCACAGAAAAGACATCCAACAAAAACTCCAACAAATCCATGGGAAAGCGCCAACAGACTCTCTCGTCAAGATGCCCTCCAAATGGATGACTTCGCCATCCACACATTGAATTAAGAAGTAGCCGTCATAGCCGGGGTTGCACCTCGCGTCGCCGGGGGTCGCTGAAAGAGGAGGTAGCAAATGACCAACATGTGGGCTGGGAGAAGGCGTATCACACGAGTCATGGACACCAACAGGGCTTGAGTCATCAGGGTCCATGTGCCAGGAGTTGCGAAACACTGATTAATCCTCTGACAAAATAGAGTAGCTGGACACAATAAGCCAAAGATCTCAGAACATTCAGCAACTTGTCTTCGTCTTGCAGCCCAGGCACTGTAGTGTTTGATTCTGCCCATGTGGAATTTTTCCATAGCTCACACCTCTCATGCCAGTTCCGATGTATCCCGGAGCACAATGACGTCGGCAAGGTCCCCCAGACAAAGTATAGTCCGGTGTCACATTGCCATCGTTACCTGTGTATCGGCCACGCATGGCGGTGTCATGTACCGCATCGCCCATGTGGAGCAACCACTGAGTGGAGCGACATACAAAATGTTCGTCCCGACCAGGTGACCCCTGCGACATGTTGACAATCGCTTGGGAGAACCCAAGAGAAAGAGTTTCCAATGGTTTTCAACAACTTTGGAGCTGAATCTCCAAAGGTGAAGATAGGAAGGCCGGCTTTCCCTGTCCAGAACTCTACAATCTTGAAAGCTCTTGCAGGCTTCCACATTTTGGCATGATTCCATTCCAAAAGATTCCAAAAACGTCAACATCAAACTCGCACGAGCAAAAGACTCCACCGTTTTAACCTTCAAAGACAAGATGCAGAACAGAATCAAACCACCGGTGAGCATATCCTTGGGCCGGTGGCAATCTCTCACAGGTAGTCTTTCAGCTATATTGCAAGTAGAAGTTCCAGCTATGTCAAAGATGTCAAAGGCCTTTTTCAAAGCATACATTTCTGGCGAGAAAAAAATCAACATCGATAAAACAAAGGGATAAAAAAAGGTCAACAGCAATTTCAAGACCTGACCGCCTGCAGGAAAACAACAGTAGGCCTGCGGCATGCGTCAGTGATCGCTTTCGTCACCCGTTCATCACAGCGATTCGACCTCTCACCGTTCCATCTCCTGTCTCCGATCTGAAAAGCCTCTCAACATCTCTCAACATGACCGGAAAGTAGCATCGAATTGCATTCTAGTAGTAATACCCTTAGCTACTAGTAGCTTCTTGCTACTTGTAGCAATGCCCTTGTTACTAGTAGCTTTTTCCCAATATATAAATAAAATAATACAATATAGTATAATATATCAAGTGCTTCATGTCCATTTCTTTCACCTTACCTTCGGATTCGGTCGGATCTAGATGGAACGGCGGCGGTGAACACCGAAGCCCAGGCGCGTCGTCACTCTGGCAGTCGGAGCGCTTGCCTCGACCGTGCTCCAAGGCCTGGACCGAGAGGGACGGTCGAGGACACGTCGCGTCGCACGCGTGACGCGGTGGAACGGTGGAAACATGTGGAAACCGAAGAAAGGAAAGAGTATACGGCCATGCATCTACGGCACTCGGCCTATGTGGTTTGTTTTGATCGTGATTTGTTCTTTTGGGAAAACGACAAGCTAAGAGGTGGTGGGGACTCTTTTCTAGTTTGTCGAAACATGTTCCATTCACGTTCCTGTGTGAAAACAAATTATGTATAATATATTTGATTCATATTGGACTGGTGATGGACTGTCAACCTGGCTTGATTCAAGCATTGTAAATCCGTGTCACTCAGTGATTTTGAATATGAGGTGGTCCTTCTGTTGCTTATTATCTGTATACACACTATATGAATAATGTGAACAACCAAAACAATTTGTGGTCTAGCAGCCTAGCAATCAATACAGAGACAACCCACGGCCACCTTTCATCAATGCTGTCAATGACAAGTAGAAATCGAGGTTGTGGAAGCAATAGCGATGTGCGTTGGTGGCGTGCCAGTTTATGAACAGAAACTCTGAACATGGCTCAAAGGCCAGTCCCAGCCAGTCCAAAGTCTTGTGAGAAGTACTCTTGGTTGGCAGTTGACGGATTGGGGTTTGGCAACAAGCATCAAACAACATGAGGGAGCCTGATGTTGCACATCAAAACCTTGCGTGCCTGGTGAGACAAAAATCCCTGCACCGGTGGTGCTGGAAGCGCTGCTACGGTAATGTTCAGAATTCCAGCAGCGCCTCGGTTCGAGGTGCCAGTTGCAACAAAGAATGCAAAACATACCAGCCAATCCAGCAACTACAAAGCAAAAAACAAACGCCAACCCGGAAAACAATGACCCGAAACAAAGCCAGAGGTGTTCGGGATCACAACCTGGGAGTGATGCAACACAAAGCCTGAGCCTGAGGTGTTCAGGATCGCACGTGCCAGTCTGGCACTCATCTTCAAACCATGGGGAGATTCAGTGCCTCTGCAAAGGTAGTGGTAAGCAGAGTAAGGTCCAAGCAGTGCTGGCTCTGGCTAGTATCCCGGGTCTGCCCTTGATTGATATTCTTATATTTTTGTTCGAAACGACCATCGGTAGAAATGGCTTGGCCCAAACCAAATTTGACATTGATGCCGTTCAACCGGCCAAGCAGCAATGCCTTTTACAACCACCGCTGATGAGGGACGTGTCCTCATTGATGCATTCCAGCCCCACTTTGCCTAGGTTTCTGGCCACGTTCCCACTCAGTGTCTGCATGTTATGCTGAGAAGAGCGAGAACAAGAATAATTGAATCTAGAACAGCAAGAACCAACAAAAGACGCAAATATTACACACGCTAGCTACACCAGCGCCAACGACAACTAGCTACTAGCATGCAGTCTACATCTTTCTCTCCTCTTAGCCCTGTGGTGTAGCGACAACTATAGGGCAAGCCAGCTTCCAGTCAACCAACCAATCAAGCGCACAACCAACGTAAGAACATCAAAGGTCGATGTGTACCAGCGAACCAACAACAGCTCCCTGAGCATTATACAACAAGTTTGGGCAACTCAAGCTCCTCTTGGTTTGCAAGGTGGTAGAGGCTGTTCACATTTGCACACAATGATCCAAGCGGCCGGTCCATCCACTGGGGCAATCCAGGATGGTTCTCTCCTCATGATCGAGCACCTGAAAAACGTGACAAATCAAGTGGCACAAGAACCTGCAAAATCACAAGAATCTTTCAACCTACAATCACAATTGCACATAATCCTCTCTTAAACGCTGGGAACGGAGTTGCCCGTTTTTTAAATGTTCTGGAAGTTGGGGTGATCCCCCAAACTCGTGCGGTCAGAACCGTCATAAGCAACTCATGGGCAAGACCCATTTCCCGAGTGTCAGCCAGGAAGATCCTGACTGTGCAAGCAAATGGCTGGGAAGAAGACCACTGAAGATCCCGATCTCCTGATCCAGCTGTGGGTCTGTGACACCGCCAAAAGGAAAGAACTGCGTGATGGATCTTGGAGCTACGTGGCTGGATTTGGATGGCTGGATCCTCTCAGAAGCTCCATGGTAAGTCCAATCGGTTGACGCCCGAAATCGGCGAAGGAGAAAGCTGGCTTCAGCCAGGCCCTTTCGGTTCCAAGCTGATTCCCACAAACCCCTCAAGGAGCACTCTTTCTTTCCAGTCCTTTGTCAAGTCTCAGCTCGCTCTGAACCCTTGGTAAGGTTTCAATGATGATAACATCCACGTCCAAACCAAGCAAGAAAATGTGCAGCTGTGAATCACAATAAATATACATTGGTTGAACACGTAACCAGCAAGGCATACTGGATAGTTGCTGGATTCTTCTGTCTGTTTCTTTTTTTCTGGCGGCTTTCGACTGAATCCCTTCGACTGTTCCCACACCTGCGTGGTCGTCCTTCAGCGAGCAAACAAACAAACACTATAGAGCAGCTGGAAGTCTGGTCATAAACGGATCACGGGTAAGTGAAACCCAGTCATGAGCATCCCTCCAATTCCGTCCTAAAATATATTCCCTCCTCTAGAATCTAGAAGGTTTAGGATTTCTCATCTGGAAGAGCATCCATCATCAAACCTCGTTCTCTCGCACGTAGTTTCAGATAGTTTCAGACATGCCAAGGATCAAAGACCCTGCAGGGCAGTTGATGCCACACTGCCCCAGTACCCAAGTGGCCGAGCCGTCATTGCAGAAAATGGTCCTTGGCTCAGCCGAGCGGTTCACCGGACCCCCGGTGAACCGCTCACTGCGGCGGCTGGAAAGACCCCGACCGGACCGGTGAACCGCTCAGTAAGCCATGTGAGGCCAGGGCCATGTGAGGACTGGGGGGTCTCCTTGCCTGGCCCAACAAGGGTTTTGGTTTTGTTCAAGTCAGGTCAATTTCCCGAACCTTCCAAGGATCGTTGCCTGGGAGGTCTCCCAATTTGAATACACACCCATGTCAATGTGGATCAGAGGCCAAAAAGAACAGGTCTGAATTCGCAAGCTTCGCTAGCACGCCGAAATCGAAATTTTCGACAGACTCGCCTAAAGCAAGCAGATGTGATCTCTATGCAAACCAAGCCTCTCAGGATCTCCCAAGAAAAAAGGCACGGAACTCCGCTAAACATCACTCCAACAGAACACGGCCACCCAAATCGGGTGTTTTAACATGTTTAACCATCTTCGCCTCAAAAATTCCATGGAAATGACACATATGCCATCAAATATGCCTAATTACTAATTATACATTGACCCCTCAAGGCATGAACACGTCTGGTATCCCCATGTATCCCCCCTTCTCCCACAACTGGGCCAAGGATGGCCAAGGCACATATTCCCCAAGGTCCCTGTGGGACACTCCCCTGCACCGAATTCCCCGTGGCGCGTGGGAGGGTACTTCACTTCAAAGAAGTCGTCCCGGACCTCAGGTCAAATTGCGGACATTGCAGCTAGCTCGAGTAGGAAGGGTTTGATTCTAGCCAAATTCAAAGGATTTCTTCATATGCATGTCTTCTCTAAGACTTGCATGGAATACCTGTTTAAACATTCCCCTTGACAGTTGTACTTCAGCTTCCACAGCAAACCTCCCTCGCTCCGCCTCCGTCCATGCGGAACCGCCGGAACCACCGGTTCCGGGGCCACCACTGGTTCTGGGCCACCACCGTGGACCTCCGTGGACTCCAGATCCCACGGCGGGTGGAGCAGCCCACATTTCTGCTTTTACTCCTTCCCAAGTCATCCTTCCCAATCGAATGAATCATGATCTTGCTTTTCCGAACACGTGAGAACAAGCTAAACAAGTTAACATCAGCTAAGCTTGGACCGAGCTCATTGGACCTAGCTTGCATCTTCGTTCGCTTCTTTGTTCTCTTTCTTCATCTCTTCATTCGCCCAGGGCACAAGCCCTGAGTCGCAGGGCCGCAGGCATCGGCCGCTTTGCACCTCGACGCCCGTGGAGGTGCACACGATGGTCACCGAGCCCTGTGGGTCGGCCGCCAAACGAGCGGGGAACCGTCCGGTTGGGTAAGAGGTTGCAAACGAGAAGCGGTGGGAGGCGCGTGAGGTGAGTGAGGGCGAGAGAGGGTGAGTGAGGGTGAGAAGTGGGTGTCCAAGATTAAAGCACATCAAAGCGATGTAGCCATGTTGACAAGCAAACACAACCAATTTTCACCTGGTGATGGATGAAGTTGTCTCATGAGGGGACAAACCCATGTCGACTCTTTAAGGTTAGCTCAGCGTGGTTAATTTTACCACCGATAAATGATGGCTGTTACGCAGTAAAACGTGCGATGCCTACGCCTGTCTGGGGGATATGATATGATATAATTGGCAGTGTGTTGCCAAAAAAATCCACTTTATTACAGTATCTCAATGTATACTCTATATAATATGGTATGTTTTTCCATTATTGCTTTGTTGTGAAGGGTGGTTTGGAAAACCAATTGCTAACATGTTGTTTCATGAACCCCGCAGAGGCAAACGTATACAAATGGATAATGGCATGAGAGTGCTGCAAACTCCCAGGCAACAACGAAACAAGGTGTCCGTGACAAAATTGTTTCACTTCGAATTGGCTGACTGTGTCCATCGATTGCGGGACGCCTTTAGAAAGGTTGCCTGGATGCCAAATCAAAGTCAAGAACAATCCTAAACTGGGTGTTTCATAAAGGTGCAGTTAAGCCAAGCGTCAGAAAGGGAACAACAAGGGATGCATACTCATACAAACATGGACCATACATGCCCAGGCATGTCTGCGTTGAAACGTACTGGGACGGCTTCCGTCCGTGCATCGACGGGGTTTTCGCTCGCCTTGTGAGGAAAGGGGCACTCCAAAGTCCGTGACAATGCCTCGCATGGGGAGTCTCGAGCTGGATGATGGTTGAGTCGAGCTGTGGATGATGCGATTCAATGCTTCTTTGAGCTTCGGCCATGAGATGGAAAAGTTGGGACAGCTGTTTTCATGGGTGTTGTGATCGCAAAGTGTTTTCTTGACACGTAGTCACGCGGTGACCTAAAGCGGCTGAAGCCGACAAGCAACAGAAACTGTCGCAAACAAAAACAAGTTGGCCTTCAAATGTGTTCACTATCAAAAACTATCAAAGCCAAGCATCATAGGTCAAAGATTCATAGTTCCTCAGACCACTGATGGAACAGCACTGTCGTTGGTTGGGATGCGGCGATAGGTAGGGCAAGCAAACCACACTTCAGAGTTGGCTTGACATCTCCAATTGTATTTCAATGGTGGTGGTTGTCATAGAAAGACCTTTGATGCATATCTATGATATCCACTGCAAATACCATATACATAGTAAATGCATGTACATGCTTTATTTTTCTTGCATACATGTGAATATGTAAGGCAAACGAATTGGGATATACAAAATTTTGTGATTGTGCTTCTTGTGGAATTCCTGTCATGGGGCCCAGGTATCTATTATGTATCTGTGATGCATCCGCTTCATTCAACTTCGCCAATTCCAAACGTTGCAGCGTGGCTGCGGCAAGGGATTCACCTACATACCTTCTCTTACTTCGTTTCACCACTTTCATCCACTTTCATCACGCGTGTGACCGCCCCAGTTACATCCCCACCCACCTCGCTCCGAACCCGGGGCACATAAAGGCGCCCGCGGAGCGGAGCGTGCCGCCTGGGCAGGGCGCCTTTCGGACGTAGCAGCTGGTGCCGCAGCGCAGATCGGTGCTGGCGATGAGGCCACCTCCTGGCGTGGGGGCAGCGATGGGAGCTCTGAAAGCAGGACTTGTCGGGTCTTCGGTCTTCTTGTTTTTCTTTTTCTTGTGTGTGTGTGTGTGTTGGGGGGATCTAACTAAAGGCTAGGCACAAGTGGTTCTTGTGAAACAAGGATTAGGCAGTCGTATCTGCGAGGTGATGATGGTGAGGGCGGGGCATGGCTTCGCAAAAGAACATGCTGGCGGAGGGAGCACAAGGACCCTTCTTGTTGCTTGAAGTCATTATGCACACCGCTCGTATTCGCATCATGTTCAAAGCTTTTGCCAAGTGACGTGCCGTGCTGCGGGATAGTCATTGGCCATGGCTCACAGAATTGTTCATGGTCCACAGAGTCAACAGGATCACAGAGAAGCCCCAAATAGGTTTATCTCTCTACGTGTGTATTGCTAAAATACATATATATATATATGTTAATTATACAGCATATATATATATATTTACTTATTTGTACATATTTATACATAGAGAGAGAAAGAGAACATGTTGGAATGTATACACCACTGCGTGGGTCGATCCGATCGATCCTTCTGAGACACGTGGGTCCTTGTGAACCTTCCCACATCATCCATCCACACCCACCTGGAGCAAACTTGCAGACGTGTGGCCATTCAAGGTGCTCCACCGCTCTGGCAGTGGCAGGCCTTGAAAAAGCGCAGGCTCACCATGCAGCGTGCAGATACGCTCGCACGGGGCGTAGCTGTAACCAATGCAGTTGTCCGTGTCACAGACCTGAGAGTTTGAACACGAGATCACGAGAACACTGGTGTTTGTCCAATACCCAAAATATAACAATGCACCTTGCCCTGTTTCCAACTTCTCCAGCAAGCAAATCTGCAAGCAAAATTGCAAGCAAATGTGCAAATACATGGGCAATTAAGAGGATCAACGAATTATTCCAAGTCCCTTGCAGCACCTTTTCCCTTTTTGGGCTCAGGCACTGCGCGGCAGGCGCCGTGCTCCATGTCCCGCCGCGAGCGCCCGCGGACCGGAAGCATGGCACTGGTCATGCAGTCGCCGTCCCCGAAACGATCGAAGGCAGCGGCGGCCGCGGGCCCTGGTTCTTGCGCCTTGAGGTTTTGGGGAGAATGGAGGATGGACATGAGAAACAGCGTGTTCAAAACAGGCAAAACAGGACATATCTGGACATATTATGAAATGGGGTAGAAGAAGCCTTCTTCAGGAAGTCATGGGAAAAAGAAAAGAAGCTGCCATGCAAAGCCTACTATATAATTGTTCCCTCTGGTCAAACCTTGCATCCTGTCAACTTTTCCAGTGATGAGACCCTCGCACTGTAGAAGCCGCCTGAGAAATGGAGAACCTCAGGACGTTTTTACGACTGAAACCAAGTGGATAGGAACGGCAGAATAGGCAACTCCGCCTGGGCATTGGCCAACTGCAATCCTAAGCTCCCAGGACGCAACGTCCATTCAATCTGATTGACCCCTTTTTCTGGCTGCTCTCTAATTTTTTACGCAATGAAACGAGGCAAGTATTTAAGCACATTGGTAGAGGTTCACGTGTTGTTTAATACGTTTCATTCCCAAATCCAACTCTTGATCAACCCCACCTGCTCTTCTGTCGGACCACAACACCTCCTCGGAAACTTCAAAAAGGTTCAAGTTCAATCTTCAGGTTTCCCTCTTAGAGCCTCAGGACGTCTGTCCAAAAAATTCAATGTCTAGATTCATTTGGGCTCATGGAGCCAACACTACGGGCCACTAGTAGTGACTAAACACAAAAATTAAGGTGTACTTTCCCAGTCTCCCTCAAGGTCGCTGCAGATTGAAACCCTCCTGACATCACCGTGGTCGCCTGGTTTCTTTGATCACCGCAGATTTGGGCCAACTCTGAGTGGTTTGTAAACCCCAGGAGCTCGCTCATTAGCTAGACTTAAATGGGTGAACTGATGTGAGCTGGTGAGGTTCGAATTGAAGATCACCTTTTCTGTGGGGACAACGAATGGAGTTCACTGTTCACACTCAAGGTGTACGGACGCACGAAGGAACGGAGCCGACACCAGAAAGAATTGGCCAATGACACGAGCACAGGGGGAAAAGCAAGGGAACGTGCCCAGGACAGTCACTTTCTGCATGAACATTGATATGTGTGCTATTGTGTGCTATATACATATTCATGTGCTTTTTGTCCTGGACTAAACTAAACGCTATCGTTAAAAGAAGTGTTCTCATATCTTTTTCACTCCTCTCTTCGCCCCACAGCTGGACCCAAGCATCCGATGAAGAACACCAAGAGCCGCGTGGCGAGCCGCATGGCTGCAGGTCCCGCTTTACGGGGCTGCAGCATGTGCTCGCGTCGCCAGGGTCGGCATCATGGCCTAAGGGGAGCGCATGTGGCACACGCGCTGAGCCGAAAAAAACTGAAGCCAAACAGCCACGGCAGTAACAGCTCCAGCGCGGGGTTTAGCCCATGGACCCGAAACATGCACCAAAATGCCTGGGTTCGCATACTCAGATGCTCGAAGAGGGCACATAAGTTGCTTGAGCAAAGAGTGCCACTATTCTTCTATGTCTTGAGAACCTGCTCTGACTGATAAGATGGGGCTTGATGGGTACCCCGTAGGTGCCCTTGCAAGTTGTCAGTGGTTTTTGCAAGTCTCCTACATTTAAGACACATACACACATCACGTATTGTGCAGGATAGCAATCTCCCCGCAAAAATGACAAATCAGGACATGCTCATCCACCAAAGACCTGGGTCTTGAAATCACATGTCCGAATTGAAACCAAAACCGTTTTGATCATTTTTGATCCCTTTCGTGTCCTCTTTGCCCGTCCAATCCCTTGTATAGTCTGTCTCAGATCGACAGTATACTATAAAACAACTATAAAGGGATGTGAGTAACGAACCAATGAAATTGTTGTTTTCTGTTTTCTGTGAACAGACGAACGACAACCAGGGACCAGGGAGGTCAACCCACCAGGGAGCGCCTGCCTGTTCTTTCGCTCAACGGACGAGCCAGTCACTGCCAACAGGACGAGCCAGTCCACGCTGTTTTAAGCATCCAAATCGAGAATCGCATACAACGTTTGGCACCAAAACGGACTCCAATCCCACGGAGTTTGAAGCATGGTTCACCTGTGCCCTTCCCTGATGACCTTGCATTCCTCAAGCTCAGCTCTTCTTTCTCATGTGGCAGCTTCGTTTCAAAGCCGAGAGGAGGTGCTTACTTCATGCTAACCGGTATTTCAAGCGACCTACACATTGGGGATGCCTCAATATCTGGGGTCCTCCATTCCTTGACGGTCACGGCTGAAGGTCAATTTTGTTCACCATGGTTGTTGGTCCCCCGTCATTGAGACAACCCCCACGGTCTGCAGATGCAAACGCGTGTGGTGTTCGTGCGCTGCCCCAACATAAAGTCCCAACCTCCGTGAAAACAGGTGAAACATGATGAAACCAAGCAACCCACTGCAGGGCAGGATTGAAAGAAACGACTCTCGCCTGATAGTCTCATGGTGAAGGCCCTTATGTTCAAAAAAGTGTCCATTTTGGCCCAAAGGTTTGAGGTTATGGCAGCCATGCTCCCCTTGAACAAGTCTAATGGCAGCTGATTCATTGGGGCGTTCTCTGAACGTGGGTCCCCAGCGCTATCTCACGGTGCTGGTCCTTCCTAAATGTTCAGCGGCAACTTCTTAGCCCCATCATCGACACTGGTCTTTTCTCTTGCTTCGTGCGTGTTTGTGATCGTTATGTCAATATAGCCATCCCTGGTGTCCAACCCCTTAATCAACTCGGAGAATGCTCTTGCAACCCCCGGAAAGTCCAGAGGACTTGACCATGAAATGTCCATCCACCATTGAAAAGGGGACAGGTGTAAGTGTTCATCAACGCAAAATAGGATGATACTTCCCATTTCACCTCACAGTAGCTCTTCACGAGTGGCTTGTTGTCGAAGTTCAATGAGTTCCTGCGAACTGTCCCATTTGGATTAACTTCCAGACATATTAGTCTGGCGGAGGGCAATACTTAGGCCTTTGCAAACCTCACACACAAGCCCCATGCACGCTGCAAACCTCTCGCATTGGCTAGCGCCAGTGTGAAAGTATCACGGAAACTTGGAAACATGTCCAATTGGGTGAGAAGTCCCAGAAGCAGCATGTTCAAGAAACGAGCCTCTCCATAATACGCATTGTATTATATAGTAATATACCTTTTTGCTCACCAACCATCGTTGCCCTGGTCTTCTGATCGGACCCAAATGATGGAGAGGGTTCTCCATTTCAGGCTATGCGGCTTCAAATTCTCCACTTGATAGGAGGGAGAGTAATTTCATCGTAGTTCATCCAAACTGGCGTCCTACCTGAACCAATTGAAAAAATCTCAAGAAAGGAGGAGATTGTGTTGTGTTTTCCCATCCCTTTAGATACAAAGTTCCATAAAGTGTTCAAAGATCCCCGGTGGATGGAGCCGTGGAATGGAGTGGATCTCTAGAGCCGTTGACTGTGACAAATCAGCCGGTTCTCGAGATCAGCGAGGTGAGGATACCCAGTATGGTTTAGGACTCAGGACTACCCAGTATGATCATGGTTAGGAAGCGCGGACTTAGTCGTGGTTAGATTGGATTATGGTAGTCGTGGCCCCCTCAACAGGCTATGCTTCGGCTCAGAATTCGCCCTTGTGCAAAATAAGCAAAGGCAACAGAGTTCTTTGGGGATAGGATGAACACCTGGGTAGCGACAATATCGGAAAGTTGAATGTGACCGTGCCATCTCGAATGGTTTGCCAAAACTAGTCCACAAATCAGTGACCTCCCTTCAAGGATCCTCTGTAAATTGCGTTCCGTGATGCTCCTCACACCGCAAATCTTCATTTCTCTTCGCACTTTCTAACGCCTCTGCTGTGGTTGCCCAGTCGGTACCTTCACCTGCCAGCAGCTTCGCCACACTCCGCGGGTCAAAGCCAATACGATGCGGCGATGGATTGAGGCTGTAAGTTGAAACAAGTAGGATCTAGTGCTTTGTTATTTGCTGTGTTACTCAACGATTGCTGTAAGTAAGGTTACCAAAGTTTCTCTTCATTTCTCTTCTCTAACCTTTACTTGCAAACTCCAGCTTGACATCTTGAATGAACAATCGATACACATATGATTCATATGATTCACTGAAATACGGACATACTCTCACCCAAGTTCACCAGCATGGACATGGAAAAGGAATGACAACTGATCGTCTTGTTCAGCCACTGTTCGGACCTGCAGGACTTGGAGTATGACAGCATCAGTATCCGAAAGCCTTAGAGCCTGGAGGGTCCACACATGTCCACACCCGTAGCTACTTCGGGACTCCCGGGAAGTAGCGCCAGCAGTCCAAACCAAAGTAGGCTAGTGAGCCAAAAGCTTTGGGAAAAGGTGCTGAAAGCAGCAAACGCCTCTTAGTTGAAATCCCACTTGGGTGGCATGGACATCTCTTTTTCCCTGCGTCAAGTGCTTAAAGTTTTGGGGCAAAGATCCGGAATGATCCTGATGCCAGCATACAGTTCGTAATCTGCTTCCGAGTTCAAAAACATTGCCCTCCCTTCAACAAACCAGAAAGTGGACGACCGCCTGCTTGTAGAGGAAAATCGTGTTTCCAGTGGTCATGTTCCACTTCTATGATTGTATATGATTGTTGGAGGGTATTCAATGAAACGAACGACGCGTCTTGTCAACCCACTCTTTTCCACACTCTCCTGGAGTGCTAGCTCGGCACAGGATCCGCGTGGCTTCTTTGACGCAGAATGGTTCATCGATCCAAATATTTTTTTGGATGCGAGGTGATTTAAACTTAAACGATTCTCGAAGCATTTCTCAATCACCATCCTGGATCATCCTAAACGCTTCTCAAATACAGTCACCAATTGTAAACAGCGAGTTGCAGGTTCCTGCCACACTCGAAAGGCAACAAGTCCCTCTTCAAAAAGGAACACCATCTGCTTCCAATGAACCAGGGTGTGTCTGTCTATGACGAGTAAATGAAACGAATTGCTGCCATCACCGCCAGGGAGTCCAAATACTGCTTTGGAGGGCCTCCCATGAGATGTTTTTCCACGCCGAGATAGACAAGGGAACATCTGCCGTTTTTTGGAACCTCCACAATAGGTCAGTTGCTTCTTGAGCGCCCAAGATCACCATTCACCATTCCCATACGGAGGTCATTCACTTTGGAAGCCTTGCGTTTGCGTGTCAAAAGTAGAAGGGTCCTTGGAAACCACAGTCCGGTCAGCATGACTCTTCAGTATTGCGACATCAGCTCAATGCACCCATCGACGGTTTTCAAACCCACTCAAGCATCTCAAGCCCACTCAAGCGTTCGCCGGCTCATGAGCCCCACATGAGCCCTACATGAGCCTCGGGCCCATCCAAGCTCTCTGCAGCTTTTTGCAAGTTCACCAACTGTGGCCGCTGGGGTTCCCAAGAGCTTGGCTTTCCACGCAGAAAACCAAAGGCGTCCAGAAAGTCCTCGTCCGAAAAAGAGGGCTGGCACGGATGTTCGGAAGTTCGAAGTCATGCAACTGAGGCGAAATTTCAAAGTAAAAAAAGCAATCCTCGGATCATGGCCTTTCGCAATGCTAAGCACCCCATCCTGCCTGTGGAGTGAGGGGAAATGGGGAGGCCAGGTGTCCGGCCACTGCACGGCGGAATGGCCACTGGGCCACTGCAGTGACCCATCGCTGGGCTTGTGCTTGACCTGAAAGTGCCGACACGAAGGGCCCATTATGGAGTCAAGGAGAGGACGACAACAAATCAACCAAGATAAAGTTTGATAAAGAACCAGAAAGTGAAGGAACTGTGAGAACTGGCCCTGAAAGGCTTCTTGATCTCCAAAATGGTGTAAATGTCCTTGGTCACTCATGAAAGCACCACGCCTGAAGAGGTCGGGGTCCCTACCTGCCACGCCGTTAAGCTTCAGTGCCAAGCCACAAATAGGATAAAGTGTGAAGCGCAAGATTGGGCTCACCTCATCAAATGACTCTCATGCAGCTCACGTGGTGTGTCGTCAAGCTTCTTACTGAAAGCCAATGTGTGGCGGAGTTACACAGGGGGTCACAGGGGTATCTTGAAGAAAACCTTTTGGTGATAAGTTCAGAGGATGTGCCCATCTGGATGAAAGCCTAAATCTGGATGAGACGAGGCTGGTACAAGTACAAGTACAAGCCTTTGTTTAACCAGCATCAGATGCCACTGGTGGACTTTTTGAAGGTTTCTGGTCCTTTACGTTGACGAACCAAAGTTGTTTTGCCATAACATGCCATAACTACAAATTAAGAGTTTCATCCCCAGCGATTCCCCTGTATCTGCCCATAAATAGAACATGAAGAATCTGCCATCCAAAGGATTTCATGGGTGGCTTGGGAAAAAGATTGAAAACGCCTACGGGGTTATGGGTCA